AAAAGAATAAAATACATGGAAATAAATCTAACTAAGGAAATAAAAGACTTAGAAAACTATATGACACTGATCAAAGAAATTAAAGATGACACAAACAGATGGAAATGTATACTGTGCTCATGTATTGAAAGAAATAATATTTTTAAAATGACCATACTACCTCAGGCGGTGTGGGGATTCATTTTAATCCTTATCAAAATCCCAATTACATTTTTCACAGAACTGGAAAAAATAATTCTAAAATATGTATGGAAACACGAAAGACCTAAAGTAGCCAAAACAATCTTAAGAAAGAAGAACAAAGCTGGAGGTATCATGCACCCTCATCTCAAACTATACTACAGAGCTGCAGTAATCAAAACAGTGTGGTACTGGCACAAAAACAGACACATAGATCAAGGGAACAGAATAGAGAGCCCAGAAATGAACCCACATTTATATGGGCAATTAATATATGACAAAGGAGGCAAGAGTACACAGTGGGGGAAAGGCAGACTCTTCAATAAATGGTGTTAGGAGCACTGGGCAGCTACATGCAAAAGAATCAGATGAGTACATTCTCACACCATATACAAAAATAAACTCAAAATGGATTAAAGACTTAAATGTAAGATCTGAAACCATAAAACTTCTAGAAGGAAACATAAGCAGTATGCTCTTTGACATCTGTCTTAACAATATTTTTTTTGGCTATGTCTCCAGAATCAAGGGAAACAAAAGCAAAGATAAGCAAATGGGACTACATGAAACTAAGAAAGCTTTTATACAGTGAAGGAAGCCATGAACAAAACGAAAAGGCAGCCTACTGAATGGGAGAAGATGTTTGCAAATGTTATATCCAACAAGGGGTCAATATCCCAAATATACAAGGAACTCATACAACTCAGCATCCAAAAAAACCCCAAATACCCCAATTTAAAAAATGGGCAGAGGACCTGAATAGACATTTTTCCAAAGAAGACATACAGATGGTCAACAGGCACATGAAAAAATGCTTTCAAAACCACAATGAGATATAACCTCACATTTGTCAGAATGGCTGTTATCTAAGCAAATCAAATGCAAATCAAAACCACAATGAGATATAACCTCACATTTGTCAGAATGGCTGTTACCTAAACGTTAACAAGTAACAAGCATTGGTGAGGATGTGGAGACAGGTAAATCCTTGTGTGCTGTTGATGGGAATATAAATTGGTACAGCCATTATGGAAAACAGTATGGAAATTCCTCAAAAAACTAAAAGTAAAACTACCGTATGGTCCAGCAAGTTCACTCTTGGGTACTTAACCAAAGAAAACAAAAACACTAATTAGAAAAGATATATACACCCCTGTGTTCATTGCAGCATTATTCACAGTAGGCAAGATATGGAAGCAATCTAAGTGCCTATCAGTAGGTGAATGGATGAAGAAGGTGTGGTGTATATATTACATGTATAGTATATATACAATGGAATATTATTCAACCATAAAAAAGAATGAAACCTTGCCATTTGTGACAAATGGGGTGGACCTAGAGGGTATTAAAGTTATTTTAAAATTTAAATTTATTTATTTATTTATTTATTTTGGATTGTGTTGGGTCTTCATTTCCATGCGAGGGCTTTCTCCAGTTGCGGTGAGCGGGGGCCACTCTTCATTGCAGTGCACGGGCCTCTCACTGTCGCGGCCACTCCCGTTGCGGAGCACAGGCTTCAGACGCGCAGGCTCAGTAGTTGTGGCTCACGGGCTTAGTTGCTCTGCGGCATGTGGGATCTTCCCAGACCAGGGCACGAACCCGTGTCCCCTGCATTGGCAGGCAGATTCTTAACCACTGCACCACCAGGGAAGCCCCAAATTTAAATGTAACAAAATTGATTCCTTGTGGTGTAGTTTTATGAGTTTTGACAAATGCATACGGTTGGGTCTCCATACCTCAATCAAGATGCAGTTTTGTTAACTCTCGAAATACTCTTATTAACCCATTGTTAGTCACCCTTTCCTTCTTCCTCCTACCATTGTAAATTGCTGATTTGATATCCATCCTATAGTTCTGCCTTTTCCTAAATGTCATATAACTGGACTCATTTAGTTTGTACCCTTTTGAATATGACTTATTTATCAAAATGCATTCAGATTCATCTATGTGGTTGCATGTATTAATAGTTCTTTTTTATTGCTGAGTAGTATTCCATTGTATAGATATACTATAGTTTGTTTCTCCAAGGACATTTGGGTTGTGTCCAATTTTTGGCAATTAGGAATGAAACTGCTAAAAAACATTTGTATACAGATTTTGTTATGAACCTAAGTTTTCATTTCTCTTGGGCAAATACCTAAGATTGGGGTTGCTAGGTTTTATGTAAAGTTACCTTTAACTTTATAGGATAGGGGAGGTTTTTCACTATAGATTCTATTTCTTTAATTCTGTTTAGGTTTCTTTGTTTTTGTTTTTTTTTTTTGGCCACGCCATGTGGCTTGTGGGATCTCAGTTCCCCAACCAGGGGTTGGACCCAGGCCACGGCAGTAAAAGCCCAGAATCCTAACCATTAGGCCACCAGGGAACTCTGTTTAGGTTTCTGATATCTTCTTTTTTTTTAATTTTTTTATTGAAGTATAGTTGATTTACAAAGTTGTATTAGTTTCTGGTATACAGCAAAGTGACTCAGTTATGTGTGTGTGTGTGTATATATACATATATATATTCTTTTTCACATTCTTTTCCACTATGGTTTATTACAGAATATTCAATATAATTCCCTGTGCTATACAGTAGTACCTTGTTGTTATCCATCCTATATGTAATAGTTTGCATCTGCTAATCCCGAACTCTCAATCCTTCCCTCCCTCACCTCCCTTCCTCCTTGGCAACCACAAGTCTCTTCTCTATGTCTGTGAGTCTGTTTCTGTTTCGGAGATAAATTCATTTGTGTCATATTTTAGATTCCACATATAAGTGATATCACATAATATTTGTCTTTCTCTGGCTGACTTCACTTAGTATGATAATCTCTAAGTCCGCCCATGTTGCTGCAAATGGCATTATTTCATTCCTTCTTATGGCTGAGTAATATTCCATGTATCCATTCATCTGTTGATGGACATTTAGGTTGCTTCCATGTCTTGGCTGTTGTAGATAGTGGTGCTATGAACATTGGGATGCATGTATCTTTTCAAATTAGAGTTTTCTCTGGAAGTATGCCCAGGAGGGGGATTGCTGGATTATATGGCAATTCTATTTTTAGTTTTTTAAGGAACCTCCGTACTGTTTTCCCTAGTGGCTGCACCAATTTACGTTCTTACCAACAATGTAGGAGGGTTCCCTTTTCTCTACACCCTCTCCAGCATTTATTATTTGTAGACTTTTTAATGATTTAATGATTTAATGATTCTGACTGGTGTGAAGTGAGACCTTATTGTAGTTTTGATTTGCATTTATCTAATAATTAGAGAAGTTGAGCATCTTTTCATGTACCTATTGGCCATCTGTATGTTTTCTTTGGAGAAATGTCTATTTAGGTCTTCTGCCCATTTTTTGATTTGTTTGTGTTTTTGTTATTGAGTTGTATGAGCTCTTTGTATATTTTGGAAATTAAGCCCTCGTCAGTCGCAACATTTGCAAATTTTTTCTTCCAGTCTGTAGGTTGTCTTTTCATTTTGTTCATGGTTTCCTTTGCTGTTCAAAAGCTTCTAAGTTTGATTAGATCCCATTTGTTTATTTTTGCTTTTATTTCTATTGCCTTGGGAAACTGCCCTTAACGTTGCTACAGTTGAGCTTTGTTAGTTTTTGTCCTTCAAAGTATTTCCCCATCTCATCTATTGAATTTATTGGCATAAAATTGTTCCTCTGATTATCCTTTTTTAATATCTGTAGAATCTGTGGTGAAGCCATCTCTCTCCTTTTTATTGTATGAAATTTGTGTCTTCTTTCTTCCTGATCACTTTGGTTGTGGGTTTATCTATTTTAGATCTTCTTAAAGAACTAGCTTTAGGTTTCATTGGGTTTTGGCTATTGATTTTCTGTTTTCTATTTAGTTGCCTTCCAAACTGATCTTCATTATTTCCTTTCTTCTGCTTAAATTGGGTTTAATGCTTTGGGATTAACATAATACAAAACTGTTTTACCTTTGGAAGTGAATTGACAGATTTTGAAACCCTGTACTCAATCCAGGTTTTTTGTGTGTGTGTGTGTATTTGGAATTTAGGCAAGGACGTAAGACTTTGCTAATATTAAGATTCCATAGAGACTGAATTTTTTTGGTACTGCTTTTAGTTAGTTGAAGGACATAAGGTTTTCTTTTTGTTTTTAATATTTATTTTTCTGCCTCTTCATCTGGCGTGTGTTTCAAATTCTGAATGAAGTGTATCTGTAAATTATGAAAGTACTTGGAATTCCCATGCCAAGCCCTGTGAAATTTACCACACATAGAGTTAAATATGTGGCATCCATTAAGTGGTGTAAAATATTGTCGTGAGAAGTAAAATTTTATTCTCATTTTTAATCTTAGCAATAATTTAACCTGAAGGGCTATATAATATTTACTTGAATTCTGAATTTAAGACATTTAAATCCACAGGTCTTCCCAAATGAGAAACCTCTAACTAAGGTATAAGGCAGTTCTAGAGTTGTTTTCATTTGTTTTGTTTTAATATATTAGAGTAAGAAATTATTGTGGTGGATAGAGTAGAATTTATATTACTCTTTTAGGTTGTCTTCCAAAGCCTGAATTATAGTCAAGGAAATAAATTGCTCTACTGATTGAACATTGTATTTAAATATTAATGCACATTTCATTCCTCTGTAAATAGAAGTAATTTTATTTTTTAAACAGATGAAATTGGCTTGAAAATCAGTTTGTTTCTTTTTTAAATACTTATTTCTTATGCAATGTTCAGTAAGAAATGTAGGTGTTATTAGAATTGGAATATTGTTGGAAGGATGTAATATTTACGGAACTACATGAAAATTATTTTCTTCGTTTACTTTTCTAATTGTTTAATGTCCTTCTTTTCTTTTAGATCCTATTTGACCAAACTCAGAGATCGATTAAGGCACAGCTTCAGAACTTTGTCAAAGAGTAAGTCAGTTGCAGTGAAAAGAAAAGAAAAGCAACCAGTTAATGATCACATCTGGGAGTTGGTATCTTTTCAGAGAGCTTAGAAACATGACTTAGGGTTTTTGTGTGTTTTTTGCTTTGTGAAATTTATATTGCATTTTTTCCTGAATTACTCTGTAAAGGAGTCAGACTTCATGCCTTTCAATGAATCATTTATACTATGAAATTTGTGTTCAGGATACATAGTTCAAATTGTTACAGACTAAAAAAAATTTTTTAATGTAAATAAATAACCTAATGATCTTTAAAAATCAAAGCAGATCCCAAAAGTGGTTGAAATACTGTCAGTTATTCTAGTTGTCTCAATATGGTATTTTCTTTGTAGAGAAGATAATAGAATATACGAGAATGAGTAATGAAGGTGCATAATAAGTAATGAAGCAAACCTTTTGTGTCACATTCATCACATTTTATATGTGAAATAAAATGAAACTAGAAATAAAAAATTTATCTGAACTTCCAGGTAGGAATGTTTTCCTTTTCCACATTAATAATTTCACTTTATGTCTTTTAATTCCTGACTGAGAATATATTAAATAATAGATAAAGTTGATTATGATATAGTATTCAGATGTTAAAAGCTATAAATAGTGGCAGATCTCATGAACATAATGCACTTCTGTTTTAGTAGGTTAGAATTTGTTGTTCTGGAGGTGATGTCTTGCAGATCATTTATAAATCACTTCAAAATAGACTAATATCCAGAATGTCCTTATAGAGTGTATACATGAAAATTTATGGCGTCTTATTAAAGTCTTTGCTAGGTACACGTTATTATTATTGTTATTATTTTAAAGTCATTTGTCTTCAAATTACTTTGCCTAATTCCTTGGTAGAAAAAGTAAAAGGATGTTTTATATTTACCTAAGATCATTAATGAGTCAAGGTTTCAGATTTTCAGACTACTGAAATGGATACTGTTATTCTCTACTGGTACATAATTCTTTTAGAAAGCATTCTTCTGTGTGTGTGTTTTAAGAATATATTCATGTCCTTTGGCCTCCTAATTTTTTTCAACAATAAATGAATGTTGTTTCTTAAAGTGTGGTCTGTAGACCACCATAACAGTGAAATCAAGGGCATGTCTTAAGAAAATCCCTCAGATTTCTAGGGCTTATCCCGAAAACACAAAGAATTGTAATCTCTGGTAGAGGACCCTTGGAACTTGCATTTTTAACAAGTTCCCTATGGTATATACTACTGTTTAAAAATCATTTGGTCTTTTTTTTTTTAATTGGGGTATAGTTGCTTGACAATGTTGTGTTTCTGCTGTATAGCGAAGTGAATCAGCTATATGTATACATATATCCCGTCTTTTTTGGATTTCCTTCCCATTCAGGTCACCACAGAGTATTAAGTAGAGTTCCCTGTGCTATACAGCATGTTCTCATTAGTTACCTATTTTATACATATTACTATGTATATGTCAATCCCAGTCTTCCAATTCACCCCACACACCCCTGCCCCCGCTTGGTGTCCATATGTTTTTTTCTTTACGTCTGTGTCTCTATTTCTGCCTTGCAAACAGGTTCATCTGTACCATTTTTCTACATTCCACATATATGTGTTAATACACGATATTTGTTTTTCTCTTTCTGACTTAGTTCACTCTGTATGACAGTCTCTAGGTCCATCCACATTGCTACAAATGACCCAGTTTCATTCCTTTTTATGGCTGAGTAATTTTCCATTGTATATATGTACCACATCTTTATCCATTCATCTGTCAGTGGACATTTAGGTTGCTTCCATGACCTGGCTATTGTAAATAGTGCTGCAGTGAACACTGGGGTGCATCTGTCTTTTTGAATTATGGTTTTCTCTGGGTATATGCCCAGTAGTGGGATTGCTGGGTCATATGCTAATTCTGTTTTTAGTTTTTAAAGGAACCTTCATACTGTTCTCCATAGTGGGTGTATCAGTTTACATTTCCACCAACAGTTGCAAGATAGTTCCCTTTTCTTCACACCCTCTCCAGCATTTATCGTTTGTAGATTTTTTGACGATGGCCATTCTGACTGGTGTGAAGTGATACCTCATTGTAGTTTTGATTTCCATTTCTCTAATAATTAGTGATATTGAGCATCTTTTCATGTGCCTCTTGGCCATCTATATGTCTTCTTTGGAGGAATGTCTATTTAGGTCTTCTGCCCATTTTTTGATTGGGTTGTTTGTTTTTTTGATATTGAGATGCATGAGCTATTTGTATTTTTTGGAGATTAATCCCTTGTCTGTTGCTTCGTTTGTAAATATTTTCTCTCATTCTGTGGGTTGTCTTTTCGTCTTGTTTATGGTTTCCTTTGCTGTGCAAAAGCTTTTAAGTTTCATTAGGTCCCATTTGTTTGTTTTTATTTTTATTACTGAAGGAGGTGGGTCAAAAAAGGTCTTGCTGTGATTTATGTCAAAAAGTGTTCTTCCTATGTTTTCCTCTAAGAGTTTTATAGTGTCTGGTCTTACATTTAGGTCTCTAATCCATTTTGAGTTTATTTTTGTGTATGGTGTTAGGGAGTGTTCTAATTTCATTCTTTTACATGTAGCTGTCCAGTTTTCCCAGCACCACTTATTGAAGAGGCTGTCTTTTCTCCACTGTATATTTTTGCCTCCTTTGTCATAGATTAGGTAACCATAGGTGCATGGGTTTATCTCTGGGGTTTCTGTCCTGTTACATTGGTCTGTATTTCTGTGTTTGTGCCAGTACCATACTCTCTTGATTACTGTATCTTTGTAGTATAGTCTGAAGTCAGGGAGCCTGATTCCTCCAGCTCCATTTTTCTTTCTCAAGATTGCTTTGGCTATTTGGGGTCTTTTGTGTCTCCATACAAATTGTGCAATTTTTTGTTCTAGTTCTGTGAAAAATGCCATTGGTAATTTGATAGGGGTTGCATTGAATCTGTAGATGGCTTTGGGTAGTATAGTCATTTTCACAGTATTGATTCTTCCAATCCAAGAACATGGTATATCTCTCCATTTGTTTGTGTCATCTTTGATTTCTTTCATCAGTGTCTTGTAGTTTTCCACATACAGGTCTTTTACCTCCTTAGGTAGGTTTATTCCTAGGTATTATTTTTGTTGCATTGGTGAATGGGATTATTTCCTTAATTTCTCTTTCTGATCTTTTGTTGTTAGTGTATAGGAATGCAAGAGATTTCTGTGCATTAATTTTGTATCCTGCAAATTTACCAAATTCATTGATTAGCTCTAGTAGTTTTCTGGTGGCATCTTTAGGATCTTCTACATATAGTATCCTGTCATTTGAAAAGTGACAGTTTTACTTCTTTTCCAATTTGTATTCCTTTTATTTCTTTTTCTTCTCTGATTGCTGTGGCTAGGACATCCAAAACTATGTTGAATAATAGTGGTGAGAGTGGACATCCTCGTCTTGTTCCTGATCTTAGAAGAAATGCTTTCAGTTTTTCACCATTGAGAATGATGTTTCCTGTGGGTTTGTCAGATATGGCCTTTATTATGTCGAGGTAGGTTCCCTCTATGCCCACTTTCTGGAGAGTTTTTATCATAAATGGGTGTTGAATTTTGTCAAAAGCTTTTTCTGCATCTATTGAGCTGATCATATGGTTTTTATTCTTCAATTTGTTAATATGGTGTATCACATTGATTGGTTTGCATATATTGAAGAATCCTTGCATCCCTGGGATAAATTGCTCTTGATCATGGTGTATGCTCCTTTTAATGTGTTGTTGGATTCTGTTTGCTAGTATTTTGTTGAGGATTTTTGCGTCTATATTCCTCAGTGATACTGGTCCGTAATTCTCTGTTTTTGTGATATCTTTGTCTGGTTTTGGTATCAGGGTGATGGTGGCCTTGTAGAATGAGCTTGGGAGTGTTTCTCTCTCTGCAATTTTTTGGAATAGTTTGAGAAGGATGGGCGTTAGCTGTTCTCTAAATGTTTGATAGAATTCGCCTGTGAAGCCATCTGGTCCTGGACTTTTTGTTTGTTGGAAACTTTTTTTTTTTTTTTTTTTTGCGGTACGCGGGCCTCTCACTGTTGTGGCCTCTCCCGTTGCGGAGCACAGGCTCCGGATGCGCAGGCTCAGCAGCCGTGGCTCATGGGCCTAGCCGCTCCGCGGCATGTGGGATCTTCCTGGACCGGGGCACGAACCCATGTCCCCTGCATCGGCAGGCGGACTCTCAACCACTGTGCCACCAGGGAAGCCCAGTTTTATTGGTCTTTGCTCTTGTTTTCTTTTTTTCTGTTTCATTTATTTCTGCTCTGATCTTTGTGATTTCTTTCCATCTACTAACGTTGGTTTTTATTGTTTTGTTTTGGGTTTTGTTTTGTTTTCTTCTTCTTTCTCTAGTCCCTTTAGGTGTAAGGTTAGATTGTTTATTTGAGATTTTTCATGTTTCTTGAGGTAGGATTATATTGCTATAAACTTCCCTCTTAGAATTGCTTTTGCTGCATACCATAGGTTTTGGGTTGTCGTGCTTTTGTTGTCATTTGTCTCTAGGTATTTTTTGATTTCCTCTTTGATTTCTTCAGTGATCTCTTGGTTATTTAGTAGCATATTGTTTAGCCTCCCTGTATTTGTGTTTTTTTACAGTTTTTTTCCTGTAATTGATTTCTAGTCTTATAGCGTTGTGGTCAGAAAAGATGCTTGATACGATTTCAATTTTCTTAAATTTACTGAGGCTTGATTTGTGACCCAAGATGTGATGTATCCTGGATAGTGTTCCATGTACACTTGAGAAGAAAGTGTATTCTGCTGCTTTCAGGTGGAATGTCCTATAAATATCAATTAAATCCATCTCGTTTAAAGCTTGTGTTTCCATGTTAATTTTCTGTCTGGATAATCTGTCTGTTGGTGTAAATGAAGTGTTAAAGTCCCCCACTATTATTGTGTTACCGTCAGTTTCCTCTTTTATGGCTGTTAACATTTGCCTTATGTATTGAGGTGCTCCTATGTTGGGTGCATGTATATTTGTAATTGTTGTATCTTCTTCTTGGATTGATCCCTTTATCATTATGTAGTGTTCTTCCTTGTCTCTTGTAACAGTCTGTATTTTAAAGTCTGTCTTATCTGGTATGAGTAAGTCTATCTCATCTGATATGAGTATTCCATGCACATGGAAATCAAAATCTTTTGATTTCCATGTGCATGGAATACCTTTTTCCATCCCCTCACTTTCAGTCTGTATGTGTCCCTAGGTCTGAAGTGGGTCTCTTGTAGACAGCATATATATGGGTCTTGTTTTTGTATCCATTCAGCGAGCTGTGTCTTTTGGTTGAGCATTTAATCCATTCACATGTAAGGTAATTATCGATATGTAAGTTCTATTACCTTTTTCTTAATTGTTTTGGGTTGTTTTTCTAGGTCTTTTTCTTGTGTTTCCAGCTTAGAGGAGTTCCTTTAGCATTTGTTGTAGAGTTGGTTTGGTGGTTCTGAAGTCTCATAGCTTTTGCTTGTCTGTAAAGCTTTTGATTTCTCTGTTGAATGTGAGTGAGATCCTTGCTGGGTAGATTAATCTTGGTTGTAGCTTTTTCCCTTTCACCACTTTAAATATATCTTGCCACTCCAACGTGGCCTCCAGAGTTTCTGTTGAAAAATCATCTCATAACCTTACAGGGCTTCCCTTGTATGTTATTTTTTGCTTTTTCCTTGCTGCTTAATATTTTTTCTTTGTATTTAATTTTTTTTAATGTGATTAATATGTGTCTCGGTGTGTTTTTCCTTGGGTTTATACCGTATGGGACTCTCTGCACTTCCTGGACTTGATTGACTATTTCCTTTCCCATGTTAGGGATGTTTTCAACTATAGTCTCTTCAGATACTTTCTCAGACCCTTTCTCTTTCTCTTCTTCCTCTGGGACCTCTGTAATTTGAATGTAGGTGTGTTTAATGTTGTCCCAGAGGCCTCTGAGACTGTCCTTAATTGTTTTCATTCTTTTTTCTTTATTCTGCTCCCTGGCAGTTATTTCCACCATTCTGTCTTCCAGCTCACTTATCCATTCTTCTGCCTCAGTTATTCTGCTATTGATTCCTTCTAGAGTATTTTTAATTTCAGTTATTGTCTTGTTCATCACTGTTCTTTAGTTCTTCTAGGTCCTTGTTAAATATTTATTGTATTTTCTCCATTCTATTTCCAATATTTTGGATCATCTTTGCTATCAATACTCTAAATTCTTTTTCAGGTGGATTGCCTATTTCCTCTTCATTTGTTTGGTCTTGTGGGTGTTTATCTTGCTCCTTCATCTGCAACATATTTCTCTGTTTTCTCATTTTGTTTTACTTATTGTGTTTGGGGTCTCCTTTCCACAGGCTGCAAGGTTGTAGTTGCTCTTGCTTCTGGTGTCTGCCCCCAGTGGGTGAGGTTGGTCCAGTGTCCTGTGTAGGCTTCCTGGTGTGGGGGACTGGTGTTTGTGTTCTGGTGGGTGGAGCTGTATCTTGTCCCTCTGGTTAGCAGGGCTGTGTCAGGTGATGTGTTTCGGGTTGTCTGTGAGCTTCGTATGACTTCAGGCAGCCTGTATGCTAATGGGTGGGGTTGTGTTCCTGTCTTGCTAGTTGTTTGGTGTGAGGTGTCCAGCACTGGAGCTTGCTGGCCCTTGGGTGGAGCCAGGTCTTGGTGTTGAGATGGAGACATCTAGGAGAGCTCTCACCTATTAATATTCCCTGGGGCTGGGAGTTCTCTGGCGGTCCAGTGTCCTGGACTTGGCTGTCCCACCTCAGGAGGCCAGGCCCGACCCCTGGCCGGAGAACCAAGACCCTGCAAGCTGCACCATGTGAAAGAAAAAAAAAAAAAAAAAAGGAAATGAACTAGCAAAACCCCCAAGACAAATGGTAAAAGCAAAACCAAACACACAAAAATACACAAAGAAACACACACACACACACACACAAAAACAGGGGAAAAAAAGAAAAAACATAAAGAAAGGCAAGATGGACTTACCTGGTGGTCCAGTGGGTAAGACTCCATGCTCCCAATGCAGGGTGCCTGGGTTCAGTCCCTGGTTGGGGAACTAAATCCCACATGCATGCCACAAGTAAGAGTTCACATGCCTCAAGTAAGAGTCTGCAGGCCGCAATGAAGATCCCATGTGCCATAACTAAGACTCGGGGCAGCCAAAATAAATAAATAAATATTAAAAAATAACAACTTTACAGATTCACAGACTCAGAGGACAAATTTATGGTTATCAGGAGGGAAGAGTGGGGGAGGGATAGTTAGGGAGTTTGGGATTGACCAAACAAAAAAATTTGTATATAACTATATTATACACCTGTAACTTATATAATATTTTACATCAGCCATTCATCAGTTAAAGAAAATAAAAATAAATGTAAAAAAAATAAAACTTATTTGGCTAAATATTGGTGCATGTCCCAGAATTTGTCTTTAGAAAAATTAACTTTGCCTTTTATGTTTCTGTAATGTTAATTTGATAATTTATTTTCACTTTAAATTGTATAGATTTAAGTAAGGAAATGCTAGCTGACTATATCAGGAATAGTGTGTACTCATAAACTAATATATATGTTAGTTGGAAGAGCTATTGAGTGTCATTTGCAAATAAATAAGTAGAGGAACATAAGAATTAAATTCTAATGTTATTTTGGTAAAGTTTTTGATCCAGATAGTTTTATGAAAGTTTCACTATTTTAATTTTTTTTAGAGATCTTAGAAAATTCAAAGATGCCAAGAAGCAGTTTGAAAAAGTCAGTGAAGAAAAAGAAAACGCATTAGTAAAAAATGCTCAAGTACAGAGAAACAAACAGCATGAAGTTGAAGAAGCCACAAACATTCTGACAGCAACAAGGAAATGTTTTCGACATATAGCCCTAGATTATGTACTTCAGGTATGTTTATTATATGTTTTCAAAAAATGGTTATTAGGGCTTCCCTGGTGGTGCAGTGGTTGAGAGTCCGCCTGCCGATGCAGGGGACACGGGTTCGTGCCCTGGTCTGGGAAGATCCCACCTGCAGCGGAGTGGCTAGGCCCGTGAGCCATGGCCACTGAGCCTGCGCGTCCAGAGCCTGTGCTCTGCAACGGGTGAGGCCACAACAGTGAGAGGCCCGCACACACACACAAAAATACTTAAGTAAACATATTGCTAATTAGTGATTAAAAACTACTCAGGTAACTTTGCGAAAACAGTAGAAAATGACTTTAAGATTTTTTTCTATTAAGTTCCTGTTCAGTAAGTGGGAAGTTAAATTTTAAACAATGAAGTACACTCCACTTATTAATGAAAGGCTTCTAGGATGGAGTAGTCTGTATTTCTTATCTCGTCTTATCTACCTCACATTTATACCACTTCCTGCAGTAGTATGAGTACTGAGACTGCCTACCTCATTCTACTGAAATGGCTCATGTTAAGGTCTTATTCGTTAGATATATTGTACTTTTTAACCAACTTGACTATTGTGTTTCACTGAAATAATAGACCACACTCTCTTGAAACATACTTTTGTCTTGATGTATCTTAAACCATTTGCAGGTCATCATCTTAATTTATGTTTCTTTTCAGTTTCCACTTTGGGTTTCTCTCCTTTGTCCACCTTTTCAGTCTCTCTATTAGGGTTCCATCTTTGGTCTTCCTGTTTTCTGACTTTATGATAATCCCTTACAGTTTAATCATGCCCTTTGCTTGAATTATCACCATATATAAGCGACAGAATATATTTTTCTCAGAAGTACCTCATTCCTTTTGTGTCTAAAACTAAAATCTTTCTTCTTCTCAAATGACTTCGTATTGCCATTACCATACTGAGTAGTATCATCCTCTTAATCATAGAAATCAGAATTGGAGAATCATATCAGATATTCTCCTCATTCTTAGCTGCTATATCTAACAGTCAAAATTGCCTTGAAAAGTTCTGTGTACCTCTTAAACCTGTTCGTTCTCACTCTGCTGCAGCCCCAACACTAGTCCTTACTGCTTCTTGTCTCGAGTATTAAGATGTTCTCATAAAAATTGATCTTTCTTGTGTTGCTTTTAACCTGCCCATTAGCAATTCATTCTCTGTTCTGTGGTCACAATTACTCAAGCTTTTCCAGGCAAAATGAATCATTCTTGTCTCTGTTTCCTCTGTGCTGCCATATTATTGTCATACACATTGCTGTTAGAGCACTTATCTCATTTATTGAAATTATTTATTTATATGTCTTTCCTACTCCTAGATTATATCCCTTCCCTCTAGTCCAGTGGTTGGAAAATAGATAGGTAATGTTTTTTGAAAGAGTGAACAGCTTACTTAATTTTAAATTTTATTTGGGAAGGGGGGAAGTTACCTAAAATATTCATTATTTTCAAATTTACACATTATAAACTGTCCGTTTCCTTTGATGTCCATCCAGTAGTTTTAAGTTAGGACCTCACCTCTCTTATAACTATTTGTTTGATTTTTCTAATGAGAACTGTTGCGTTATTTTACTATATGGCCAAAGTGTCTGTTTTAGAGAATAGTAAGTAAATATTCAGATTTATAGAGTGTCGTGCTTTAGTTTCTCTAAATATTTGGATATACTTTTGTATTTTCAAGTGTATGCTGTTTTTCATTGTCAAACAGAGGCATTTTTAACATTTTTCTAAGCTTTTACTTAGAGCATTTGAAAGTTAATCTTTTAGTTCTCAAAACTGAATAGACCTTGAAACAGACATGCAGAAGAAACTAGTGCTTAGGTAAACAAAGTTATTAGATTTTTCTTGGTCTGTCTTTACTTATTTATTTATTTATTTATTTATTTATTTTTGGCTGCATTGGGTCTTCATAGCAGTGCGCCTGCTTTCTCTAGTTGCATCAAGCGGGGGCTACTTTTCATTGCGGTGCACGGGCTTCTCATTGCAGTAGCTTCTCTTGTTGCAGAACACGGGCTCTAGGCACGTGGGCTTCAGTAGTTGCGGCATGCAGGCTCAGTAGTTGTGGCTCGTGGGCTCTAGAGCACAGGCTCAGTAGTTGTGGCACACGGGCTTAGTTGCTCCGCGGCATGTGGGATCTTCCCAGAGCAGGGTTTGAACCCGTGTCCCCTACATTGGCAGGTGGATTCTTAACCACTGCACCACCAAGGAATTCCCTCTTGGTCTGTTTTTTTTTTTTTTTTTTTTTTGCGGCACGTGGGCCTCTCACTGTTGTGGCCTCTCCCGTTGCGGAGCACAGGCTCCGGACGCGCAGGGTCAGTGGCCATGGCTCACGGGCCTAGCTGCTCCGCGGCATATGGGATCTTCCTGGACCGGGGCACGAACCCGTGTCCCCTGCATCGGCAGGCGGACTCTCAACCACTGCGGCACCAGGGAAGCCCCCTCTTGGTCTGTTTTTGTTTTCTGATCAGTGCTTTAAAATTATCTTATTAAACGACAGGCAGAACATTCAGTGGGAAGGACATATTAAAAAGATATTCTGTAACCTTTTGGAAATTTTAGCAAAGAGTTCATGATTCTTTTCTTGTGTAAACATTGTATTTCATTAAGCTGATATATAATAAATAACAGACAAAAATAAAATGTTTGTTGTGAATTTCTAGAGTTGGGAGAGATACCACAGAAGGCAACTTTTATAATTACTGATCTTTCAATAGTTTAGTCTAATTAAAATATTTATTTAAGGTCCATTAATTTGTTCAACAAATATTTCTGAGTGCCTAATATATACAGCTTGGAGGATACAACTGGGAATAAAGCACGACCTTGATCTCATGGAGCTTATGTTTTAGCTGGGGAAAATAAATAAGTAAATAAAATATGAGGTAGTTATGAATACTATAAAGAAAATAAATAGGGTTGGTGTACTAAAGACTGCTTAAAGGCCTACTTTAGACCTTTGTGAGGAGATACTATTTAAGCTGGGACCTGATGGATAAGAGCCTTGTGCCCATCTGGGAAGAAAATCATGACATGAGGACAGAACAAATAGTACAAAGGCATCGAGGTGGGAGTACTCTTGGGTTGTGGTTGGACCACAGAAAAGGGGAAAGTACTGTAGTAGAAAATTAGGTGGGAGAGGTAGCAGGAGCCTCTTCACAAAGGGCCTTGTAGGCTACAGTAGGGAGTTGGAAGGTTTTAATACAGACGTACATGATGTTATTTATTGTTTGAAAAGATCATTCTGGTTGCTGTGTGGAGAATGAAGTGTCAAGAGTGGAAACAGAGACTAGTTCATAGACTGTTATAGCAGTCCGGAAAAGATATGGTGGTTGGTGGTAGTGGTAAAAGTGATTAAAATTTGTATTAAGGATGTATGTTAAAAGAGCAATTAGATAAGGAGGGTAGAGAGAAGACGGAATTCTAAGAAATTCAAAAGTTTATCAAGGTGATAGTTTTATCAGTACAGTACAATTTTATGGTTTGAACATGGCCAGTTTTTCTTTAAGTTGAAAAAATGGATGAGAGTTTCATTGGTATGTTTGTCTTAACTGTTTTTGCAAAAAGCAGGTCAAAAGGTGAAAAACTTGAACTTTGTTTTCTGAAAAAGTATTAAACCATTAGAATAAGCAAATTTTACAATATTGCATTCTGGATTAGTTTTTAAAATAATGCATAGGTGATTAACCAAGTGCATTTTCCCTCAGATTAACGTCCTTCAATCAAAAAGGAGATCAGAAATCCTGAAATCAGTAAGATATTTATTGAAATGATGTTCTAAATATTTTAATATGAAGTTAAATGTATATATTTAAGTTTTTAAAATAGCACCATATATGTGTGTGTATGTATATTTATTTACTTATTTATTTCTTCCAGGTTCATAATTAATCTTAATGATATTTTTGTACTTCTTATATGTCACTTAACCACTTTTTTTGGTCTCCTTTATGTTATAGTTATTTATGTGTGTCTCATCTATAATTACACTGTAATCTCCTTAAAGCAGACACTTAAATAATTTGAGATTGAGGGCATACATAGCATCATTTTACAGAATTTTTCCCTTAGGGCTGTTGATGGTGTATCAGCTTTTTGGAGTGCAGGTAGAAAACAAATGAGATGAAATTTGAAGGATGGCATGGCAACAGTCATTTCTTATTTGCCCATTTTTCGTCTTAAAAGCTAACAAGGAGGTGGGCAGAGGATGATAGTCATGTATACATTACACTCTTTTATATTTTGAGAACCTTAGAAATAATTTCTCCTTTCTGATTTCGTTCACTAAAGTTTTTTTATGGTTTTTTTTTCTCAAAGGATCTACAGAAATTGCTTTTGATCCTTGTCCACACCTAGGTTTTTCCTAAATTCTCTGTTAATATTTATGTTATTTCTTATCAGATGAGAACATTATACTTCCTGTTTACCTCCACCACCTTTTCCAGATTGAGAGTAATGTATGTTAATTGTAGAAAATTGGAAAATAAAATATATGAAGGAAGAATAAAAATACTTATAAATGCTACTACTAAGAGAGAACCACTATTAATATCTTGGTGTAATCTTTGTCTTTTTTCTCTGTTTGTGTGCGCACGCCTGTGTGTGTGTGTATGTGAAAATGTATATACACCTCTTAAAATTCCATTTAATTTTTAAAAACAAAATAGGAATCATTCCTACATACTGTTCTATAATTTTCTTTTTTCACTGATACACTCCAAAATCATCATGTGTCGTTAAATATTTTTTTATTTAACGATGTGACCAGGTAGAATTCTACCATATGAATACAGTAGGGGTGAGCAAACTTTTTTTTTGAAGGGCCAGGTAGTAAATATATTAGGTTTTGGAGGCCGTATTGTCTGTGTTGCAACTACTCAGCTGGGCTATTGTAATAGGAAAGCAGTCATAGACAATATGTAAATGAATGGCATGACTGTTCTAATAAAACTTTTTTTATGAACATGGAAATTTGAATTTTATATAATTTTTACGTGTCATGAATTTCATGTCTTCTTTTCATTTTCTTTAACCATTTAAAAATGCAAAAACTGTTGTTAGCCCGTAGGCCATCCAAAAACAGGTGGTAGGGCTGGATATAGTTTGTAGGTCAGTTTGCTGACCTTGAATATACCATAAATTAACTTTACCTATTAATGGATTTTAAGTAATTTCCCTGTTTTTGACGTAAAGCATAGCATTATAGTGATCATCCTAATGAATAATATTTCCTTCGGATAGATTAAGACAAGAGATTACTTAGTCAAAGGGTTGAAGCATTTATTGAAACTTTTAAGGAATATTGTCAAATTTTAAGGGTTACACAAAATTTCCACTAATAGTGTGTGAGAGTGAACATTTTTCTACATTTTACCAACGCTGGGTATTAATTTCTCCCACTCTACCACAGTTTGGTAGATTGAAAATGTCATTTCATTGTTTAATTTTGGATTTCTTTGAGGCAAATGAGTATGAATGTCCCCCCCCCCTTTTCTTTTCTTGGTCACTATGTTTTCTATTTATGTCCTTTCCCTCTTTTTTTGTGGGGGTCTTCATGCTTTTCATATTGATTTGTAACATCTCTTATCTGTTAAGACTAGTAACCCTTTGTCAAGTGTTTTTTCCTAGTTTATTATTTATCTTTTAATATGCTTATTCTGTGTTTTGATGTGCAGGCATATTTTACTTTTTATGTACTTGTAACTATTAATCTCTTCCTCTCTTTTTTAAAAATATATTTAGTGTTTTTTAAAATCATATTCACAAAGTTGTACAACCAGCGTTATCCAATTCCAGAATCATCTTTTAGTGAGCTTTGTCCTTTTGTCATTGTGTTTTATTTTATTGGTTTTTCTCTCCCAAAAAAATTCCTTTTGAAGGATTCTTGAGTATTAAGGACCTTTTGACCTATTTTAGATTTTACAGAATTAAACAGATGTCTCTTCTTGCTAAAAATAACAGGGATGTTTGGAGGATTCTTTCAGTATTGTGATTGAATTAATTCCTTCTCATGTAAAAATTTAACTAATAAAAATAAGAGTGTTTTTTCTCTCATGACTAGGTAAAATGTAGGAAAACTTAGAAAAAAATCTTAACCCATTAATCATTTTTGAATTTTTGGAATGAACATAACAAAATCTTCATATTGGCAAAGTCTGTTGCCTCATTTTATTTTGCTATCTTGAGAAAAAAATGAGCATGCCCCTATTTCGTGTTGTGCTTAGTGATCTACGGGTTGTAAAGTATATGTGATTGCTTTGTTTTGAGAGCTTCGTATGTCCCCTCCTAATATTTTAATGTTTTATTTGTAATTTAAGGTTTTGCCAGTGAGTTTTGTTGAAAGACACATAGATATTTTATAATGTACCTGGAAAGCTGGTGAAGTTATTGAAAACTTGATTCTTTGAATTATTGCAATATAAGTTTGAAAATATTTTTGTAATACTCTTTTAAGAAAAATGACTCAGTTTAATTTTAAATAGGTTTGCTATTTTGGGCTCTGGTGGAATAATTTTTAAACAATAGATAGGATCAGAATTTTTTTAAAATTTCAGAATATTTATCTAAGAATTGATTTTAAAATGCTAACCATTTTTTCCTCCTGTTAGATGTTATCCTTTATGTATGCCCATTTGGCCTTCTTTCATCAAGGATATGATCTATTTAGTGAACTTGGGCCCTACATGAAGGATCTTGGTGCACAGGTAATGTACTGTACTTCTTGATTCTGTGTTATATACCAATATCTGTACTTTTTTAAATTGAGATATAATTGACATACATATAACTGGAAGTTTTGTACCTTTTGACCCCACTCACCCATTTTCCCACCGCCAACACCCACCTCTAGCAACCTCCAGTCTGTTTTTACTATGAGTTCTGTTTTTTGTTTTTGTTTTTTTTTAATTCCACATATCAGTGAGATCACACAGTAGTTGTCTTTCTGTGTCTGACTTATTTCACTTAGTGTAATGCCCTCAGGATCCATCCATGTTGCTGCAAAAGGCAGGATTTCCTTTTTTATGGCTGAATAATGTTCCACTGTATTATGTATACCACATTTTAAAATCCATCTATTGACAGACACTTAGTTAGGTTACTTCCATATCTTGGCTAAATAATGCTGCAGTGAACGTGGGGATGCAGATATCTTTTCGAGTTAGTGTCTTCGATTCCTTCAGGTAAATACCCAGAAGTGGAATTGTTGGATCACATAGTAGTTCTATTTTTAATTTTTTGAGGAACCTGCATACTGTTTTTCATAGTGGCTGTGCCAATTTCATTCTCACCAGCAGTGCACAAGGGTTCCCTTTTCTCCACATCCTTGACAGTCTTCTCTTATCTTTGATGACAGCCATTCTAACAGGTGTGAGGCAATATCTCCCTGTGGTTTTGATCTGCATGTCTTTCATCATTAGTGACATTGAGTACCTTTGACCTCTTATTGGCCATCTGTATGTCTTCTGTGGGAAAATGTCTGTTCAGATCCTCTGCCCATTTTTTAATTGAAATTTTTTTTTTTTTTGCTGTTGTCTGAGTTCTTTATATATTTTAGATATTAACCCCTTATCAGATATATGATTTGTAAATATTTTCTGCCATTTGGTAGGTTGCCTTTTAATTTTGCTCATGGTTTCCTTTGCTGTGCAGAAGCTTTTTAGTTTGATGTAGTTTGACTTGTTTATTTTTCCTTTTGTTGTCTTTGTTCTAGTATCTGTATTTTTAAAGAGATTTAGCATATTGGGAAATTTGACAGTTTATTTAATGATGAAGTTTGGTGCTATAGCAGATTTATGTATGGGTTAAATGTGTAACCAAAAATAAGATTAAAGTTAAAGAAAATGTTACAGATAGTATATTAGGGTACCAAAAAGAAGAATTTTAAAACAAAGTGTTTGTTTTACAGTATACATAGCTGGATTTATTTTTTTGTTTCTTACATTTGGATTATTGAGTTACTGTCCTAATTGGTATTTTATTTGAGTTATAGCTCTTTTTTTATTTTCAGAGAAATTTGCATTTTGCTATTTTGAATAATAAAATTTTAGAATCTTAAGATTATAGAACTCTTGGGAACTTTTTCATTTTATACACATGCACACACACATGCACATGCATGAATTATATATAAGAATATTATATAGAAATTTTATTACGTCCAAATTATTTTTGATATCTAATGAAAACTTTATGTTAGATCTGTTCCCGGCTATTCTTTTTTGTTGACTGGTGAGTTTTCTGGATTTCTGTCAATTTTCAGTTGATTTTCTTTCCCAAAATGGTTCAGGTTACTTTCTGAGGAGAGGGATTAAGGATGAAAAATAGCACAGAGATTAATAGTGTGGTGACTTGTTATTTTCTTCCAATAGATTAAGTTCTGTAGAGGCACGGAAGAGCATTTCTATAATTCACAGCATATGCCCTGCACACCATCTTTCCCCAACACCATCCCAACACACACACACATGCACACATGCATGCACCACATTTATTTTTGGTCAATGAATGCAATTCTCATTCTGCTCTTACCTTTTCCCCATTTCCCTAAACTCTAAGTGCCCTGTCTGGGTATATAAATGGAGATTAGATTTGTTTGCATGTGATAGAAAACCAGAAATAGTAGGAGCTTTAACAAGATAGAATTTTATTTCTTCTATGTAAAATCAAAGGCCTAGTATGGTGGTCACTTAATCTGCAGGGACACAGGCTTATTATATCTTTGGATTCTACCTAATGGTTCAGAGTGGTTTATCAAGCTTTAGCCTTCATATCCAAATGCTAGCCAACAGGAAGGAGGAAAGGGGAAAGAAAGATTCATACCCTCTCTTTAAGGATATTTCTTAGAAATTGTATATTCCACTTCTGTGTATGACCCAGTGTCACACTAGCTGCGAGGAAAGCTGGGAAATTTAGTCTTAATGCATGTAACCGTGTTAACCTACTAGAATTTGGGGATTCTCTTGTTAAGAAAGGAGGAGAGAATGGATGTTGGGAGGCACCCAGCTATCCCTACCACATATTGGAGGATCAAAGTGTTACTGTAACATGTATAGAGTACATCCAGCCCAGACTTGGGAAGAAGGCAAGACCTTCCTAGGCCCCACATCTTAATCAAACATTAGATTGTACCCTCATCTTAAATTAAGTATAATTTATCAAAAAAATGAATTGGTTTGTAGTTGACTAGTTTCAATAATTGTATATTTTGACATTTATTAATTTCAGTTTTTACCCTCCCAGGTCTCAAGTAATTTTGCAGGTCCTTGAAAAGCATCTAAACTCCAGTGCCTGTAGTGCCTGGTGGATAATATGGCCTGGTTGGAGGTGGCCAGTTAGGATATTCTTTCAGTAATTCAGTTATGAGATTATGGCATCTGGAACTAGGGTCCTGGCAGTAAGGGTGGAGATAAATAGATAGACTTGAGGAATAGTTAAGATGTAGCCAATTTGAGAGTGGAGGGACATGATGAGTTCAAGTTTAAATGTGTTGATTTTGAGAATAGGACAACTAGGTGGGTATATCTGTAGTTCAAGAGAAAGAAACACTAAAGGAGTCAATAGCATATAATTGCTAATTGCAATCACAAGAGTGTGTGAATTGACCCAAGGAAAGTTAATAGGTATTTCAAAATCATGAACCTATTTTAAAAAAACATAAGTGACCGAACACCATGCCTAATAATTTTGATTTTGTAAGTTAAGGTCAAGGTCCACGAGTATGCAGTAAAAAGAGATTTGGCTTGGGACAGAGCCCTAAGAATGATCTACTTTTAAGAGACGGCTAGGTAAGAGGGGCTCCGTGAGAACACTGATGGGAGAGGAGGTGGAAAACCAGAAAATCGTGGTAGCACAGGGCAAGGAAAGAGTGTCTCAGAAAGGTGGGGGTGGTTGTCAGTGCAAATGCTGGAAAGAAGGTCGAGTAACCCTAGGACTGAGAACTACCTCTTGGGTTTAGCAGCAAGAAGGTTATGTGTTACTGATGTGAGAGTTGAGGGTCCAAGAGGTGAAAGCTTAATTACAGTGGGTAGATGAATATGAAATGGGCAAGTGGAGAACAGGGAAAAATTTTTTAAGAAGTTGTATTGTGAAGAAAAGAGAGCAGGTAGTAGCTAGAGGGGAGTATGAGTTGTAGGAAGGTTTTATTTAAGGTATTATTTGCACAAATTTAAAAAGAAATGGGAATGGGAGAAGTTGAAAGGCAGAAAGAGAAGTGGTGAAATCTGAGGTGGTAGGAGTGTAGGAGATTCAATACATAGGTAGAGGATTGGGGGCACCTGGTTAGGTATAGGAGCCTATTAACCTCATGATGCCCAACACTAATAGAAACACGGGACACATGCTACTGTGCTCCAAACTCTCTTCCTGATACAGTACCCAGCATCTAGGAGACAAGACTGCCAGCCTTCGCACCTCCCCAACTCATACGTCCTCCAGTACTCCACCATGTTGGAAGATATCTTTTTCTTTATACTTCTGCCCCAACAGAGAGAGGGGAATTTCCTCCCTTTCTGCTGCAGTAGCAGTGGGGTGGGATGCAGCAGAGAAATTTACTACCAAGTTGACAATTTTACTACCATCACTGGCATTGTAGTACTGGTGTGGAAAGTACATGCATGCAAGTTTAGAAATATCAGTTTGAATCTTGGGGGCTGCCTTCTGCTGCACTTCAATCTGAATGTATGAAAAACATTAACATGCCTTTCACTTAAAGGCTATAAAACAAGGATATAATGGTTATGCCACTCATTCAGTATAAGAAACTATTGAGGACAAACATTTTCCTAGCGCAGCATTACCCGTTAAATCAATGCAGCATGTCACTAAGGTAAGTATGCATTAGATCTTAAAGTGGAGTGGTATAGTTGCCATCTAAGTAAAATATTCTATAATAGTGATAGTTCTATTTCAGTATGTTTTCTTTTGGTTCTTTATTATTATTCAGTGATATTAAGATTTTAAAACTAATGTGTGATAGTGAATAAAGGATCACACAGTCTTTTAAGAAGGCCTTTTTCAGTTTTGTTGTTAAAGGATATCAATGAGAACATTTTGACATTTAATACTTTGTCTCCGTAGTCTGTTGACATTTACATTTTTATTTATTCATTTATCACACATTAGTTTGAGGTGATGGGTGTTCAAAGATGAAATGACATACATCACAGTTTAGAAGAGTAGACCCACATAATGGGGTATTTTATAACCCAATTTTTGTTATTCCAGCAAAGAGGAGTTCAAGAAGCCAGTGCTTTTGTCATAATACTGGAAGTCAGATATTTCTCTTCTGATGGAAAGGATCAAGAAAGAAATGGGATTTTATGATTTCATAAGTTTTTAAATTTTTTTTTAAAAAAAGGACTTTAAAAATTGGTGATTTTATACCCTGATCTAATGAATGGTTTCTATTCTATTCTATTCTGTTCTATTCTATCCTATTCTGTCCTCTCCTACTCTATTCTATTCTTTTCCCTCCCTCCCTCCTTTCTTGCTTTCTCTTTTATCTGTTGAATTATTTTTTCTACCTTTTAGATTTTATTGTAATATTAGGAAGCCAACTTGAAAACATCATGCATCTTGAGTGATTGGAAGTGTCTGTTACGTTGAACTTGTGAGGCTGGCACACACTAGCTTAGCTGCTACTTTTTGCTGTTTGGGAAGAAAAATCACCAGTATATCTTCTTTCTGCCTTTGATAGCGACTACCAGAATTGCTGAGTGCATCAGCAGACAACTTAATCTAGAGTCATTCTCCTTAATTCAAGGGGTGAGCATGTTATCACTGTTGTGCCTGAGACAGGGCCACCTGTCACAATTGCTTGGAACCATGGTTGCTCTTAGAAATGTTTTCCCTAGAGGAATTAAAGACCTTCTCAAAGAGGATATGATACCAGAAAAAAAAGAACTTCCACTTTAAAGTTGTAGCCAAAATGCCTTTTTAGGTAAACCTCAATTGACTGACTGATTTGGTGTATGAGTTTTGAAAAATAATCATGTCTTTCTTTCTTTAACTTCTAAGTCTCTATCATTTACTCCTTTTATAGTTGGATCGACTGGTTGTGGATGCAGCAAAGGAGAAAAGAGAAATGGAGCAAAAACATTCCACCATTCAACAAAAGGTACTTGAGGGGAGAAGTTAAAGGAGATTAATTCCCATTTTACACAATTTCTTGATTATTGGTTTCAGCAGGATATCATTGTGTTGGAAAAGATCCTTTGAGTTGCTTTAATAATTAAAGATTGTATTGTATAGATAAATTCCTCCATTTTTTGTAAAAAATAAAATATTTTTCTGATGTTCAGGTTTGTATTTTATTACTATTTTATATCAAAATATTTGAAAGCCATGCTCTTGAACCAGCTTATAAAAACATCATCAGTCTCTTAGGGCCTTAACTGCTTTAAAAGTGGCCCTTAGAGTTTAAAACACTACTTACAGTTTCAGTTAGGATATCACCAACCACCTGTAAAAATGTGTGTGTGTATGTGGGGGGCGGTGGATGGGGGGGTGTGTGGAGGTGGTCATGGGTTGGAGAACACCGTAGCATCAATGTGTGTGTTTGGTACTAGGAATTTCCAGCTGCAGTCACTCTAAGGCAGCACTTACCCTCTCAAGTGATGCTGAAATTTCACTTGCATTTCTTATTAATTTGCCTAAGTCTATCTAAACTAATGTTTGAAAAATATATATTTAAAAATGAAGATTTAAATGTGAAACCAGTTTTTGTTTCTGTGTGCTAAAAGCTTTGAATATAATATACCTGGAACTCAGTCTAACAATATTTTATCTTATATAGTTATTGACATTTTTTTGTGTGTAGTAATCTGAAAATAAAAAGAGACAACTGGAGGTTGAATGTATGTAAAAAGTATGAAAAAAGATGTGTTCTGTACTTATACCTGGCAGGAGAGATACCATGATCACAAAGGTGGTTTTCCCAGCGTGAGGCTTATCCATCCCACACCTACAATTTCCCCAAATGTGGGAAACTTGACTGCATAATTTTTGGTAGTGGGGGACTGCTATCACACTTTCCCCTAAAAAGACCAAAAAAAAAAAAAAAAGATACCTTCTAGCATTGCTTTAAGAAATCTATTCTCTTGGTATTGAGCAGTCAAATCAACTTTTGTTATGGTTTATTTAGAATTTAAAATACCAGTAAACTAGATCTGATATAGAAGATGTCAGAGGAAAAAAACGAAAGTGAAATCCGTAATAAAAGTAAGGAAAATTTTATTGGTGATGGGTTGTTAGTACCCAAAGAGAAACGTTATTTAAAAAGTGGAAGATTTTCTACCAGACCATGTTTAATTCATTACTTCTAGTTATATTCAGGTAAGACTACCTCCATGTTTTATTTTGTTTAAAGTTAGAATCATTTTTGTTTGGATAACTTGTTTTAATGACGTTACTGTGGAAAGATTTTCAAGAATTGGGACCAATCATTTTTAATTAAAATGAGAGGTCATGAAGTTTAGAAACATGTGACTATTTGTTTAAACTGAATTATTTAATGAATATTATGCATCTTTTTTTTTAATAGATCTTTATTGGAGTATGATTGCTTCACAGTACCATGTTAGTTTCTGTTGCACTATGCATCTTTTAATATCTTTCCCTATTGTATAACAGCTCAGTGTTGTACCGAATGTCCAAGAGTAGTAGATTATTAAATCTGATAAATTTATTTGATTTTAAATAATTGTCAGTTATTGTTTTCCTTAAAGGGAATAATGCTGTTTTTGTTCATTATGAATACTTACCTTTTTTTTTTTTTGCCCTTAAATGCTGACACAAGGCTGCATTACAGGTAAAAAAAAAAAAAAAAAGGAAAAGAACAAGATCCAGTCAAACTAAAAATTAAGGAAAAATATGTCTAATGTAATTATTTAGAGTTTTTTCAAGAATTGAAATTGATCAGTTGAAGAAACAATGCTATGCATATTCATGTACATGCCTTTTGGATATATGCACACATTTCTGATGGATTTATACCTAGGAATAAAACTGGGTCAGAGGGTGTGTATATATGTTCAGTGTTGGTAGATAATGCTAAATTATTTTTCAAAATGTTATACCACTCCTGGTAAGCAGCACTGTGTGAGAGTTCCCATTGCTGCTTGCCACCTCGTTGTATTGTGAAAGTTTTAAATTTTTTGCCTATTTTGGTGGTAGATATTGACATCTTGTTGTGGTTTTAATTTATGCTTTAGCCACTAATGACCTTCTCCCAAGTCTATTGGTCATTTGGATATCCTCCTTGTTAAATGTCTGTTAGTCTTTCTCCCATTTTTCCATCATGTTGCCTAGCTAACTGTTGATCATATCTTCAGATATTCTGGATATTAGCCCCCCTTTGGGGTATATACGTTTTAAATTTTCACATAGTTTTTAAAATGTCTTTTCTGTGTGGTACTTTTTGTGTCCTTCCCAACCGAGGATCACAATGGTATATCTCCTAAGGGTTTATAGATTTGCCTAATCTTCTAAGTGTGTATAGATTTGCCTTTTATCAATTTATCTAGATTTTTAATCAATCTGTAATTGGTTTTTTGTATATAGTATGAGGTAGAGATCCAGTTTCCTTTTATTTTCACATTGGTAGCTAAATGATCTAGATTCAGTTGTTAAAAAGTTTGTTTCTCCCTACTACTCAGTGTTGTATACTGTTATACATCACATTTCCATACATGTGAGGTCTGTTTTGGACTCTATTCTGTTTTGTTGGTCTTTTTATCTTAATTATGCCAATACTGTGCTATCTTAATTATTTTAGCTTTATAGCATATCTTGATATCTGACAAAGAGAAGCCTCCTACCTTCTCTTCTTCAAAAGTGAATTGCCAAAGTTCTGCATTTCCATATAAATTTCAGGAGTGGCTTTTTAGGTTACATAAAAATAGCTTTTGGGATTTTGATTGGGATTGCATTGGATCTGTGAATCAGTTTGGGGAAAAATTGATATCTTTATTTTAAATGTCTTCTAGTCCATGAGCTTGAAATATTTCTCCATTTATTTAAGTTTTCTTTAATGTTCTTCATAAAGTTTGATAGTTTTCTTGTACATCTTTTGTTAAATTGTATTGCAAATGTTACTGTAAATATTATCTTGTAAAAATTTCTTTTCTCACTGTTTACTTTTGTTATATATTAGAATAAAATTTGATTTTTATGTATTGATTTTGTAACCAGTAGTCTTTTTAAGCTCTCTTTAATACTGATTTATCTCTGGATTCTTTTGGATGTTATGTGTACAAAGTCACATCATCTGCAAGTAATTGTTTCCTTTACTTTTTGTTTATCTTGCTGGCTGGGACTTTTAAAATAAGCTTAAATCAAAGAGATAGTAGTGGTCCTTCTTGTCTTTCTTGCAATTTCAAAAGAGAAAGCTTCTCTTAGAGTCCCCTCATTGGCCAGCCTTGGCCTTGCCTTCTATTCCTTGGGCCCCACACCAGAGCTTCAAGTTCTCCTGATGAGACAAACGCCCTTAATGGGAGACTTGGCTTCCTTGCTCTGCTTACCCCTGTGGCTTCCAATGTTCACTTATTCTTTTGCCTTTGAGTATTCCTTCCATTTTGTCAGCTCATCAGTGTGTTTAAATTCTAATATTATATATTTTATTCAACATTATTGGTTGCTTTCATTATAAAATCATATCTATCACATTTTAAGTACTATAAAATATTAATTGATGTTAATAGGAATTATACTGAAGACTTAATTTATCTCAAGAAAAATAGTTGAAATTAGAAAAAAAATACTTATAATGCATTGCAAAGATGCCGATGTTACAAATGAAATTTTTAGAATGTTGCCAAACTCAATTACATCTGTTGCTGACTTAATCCTGTCTACATAATTAAATAAATTATAGCTTCAAGTACATTTTAAATGAAGGAATTAAAATTTCCCTGATTTTTTCCCCCCAAAGTAAAAGCAGGAAGAAATGTAGCAATTTATTTACAGGTTATTTCATTTGATTATTTTGGATTATTATGTCTTTATGATTAAATTTTGAGAGATGTCAGCAGTGTTTGTTTTTAATTCTGAAGTTAGTCTGTTTCCTCTTTCCATAGTCTTAGACTCTTAGATTTGGAAAGCCCTTAGGTGATTCTCACTCCGTTTCCCCTCCAGTGCAGGACCCCCGCATCCCAGCGTTCTGGCAGGTGGTCATCCAGCCTCTACCAAAATCTTTCTCAAGACAGAAAGTCTACTGCTCTCTAATAGGATAGCATTCTAATTTTGATTATTGGTCCAGAAATAATTTTGAAAGTTTCAAGACTGATTTTTAGAGTTTTCAATTTGGGGATCACAGCAATCTTGCAGTTTTGTTGAAATTACTTTGGAAATTCACCAGGAAATATTTTAAATATGGGAATTCTGATTTCAAAACTTCATGAATCCTTGGAGGAAAATTGAAAGTTTGAATTGTATTCAAGTGAAAACTAGAATGATTAGAATGATAAAAAATGACTATGAGTGGTTCTATAGTCCTCATAAAAAAGTGAGCTCGGAATGCTCACTTCACACTGTGGTGCTTCTCCTTTGCAAAAATAATTTTATTTTAATCCTTTTTTGAACCCCCAAACAGTGGAGTTATTGTTTCTACCAGATTTTAAAAACTGCCATAATAGTAATATATTTAGAAAATAGTGGTAGATTTAAATAATCCCAATTAAATATACCCATATTCCTTTAAAAAAATTGTTAGCAGACACATCACCATAAAATATTGGGATTAAATGAAAACATTTTAAACATAACACCTGTAGAATATCGAGTTATTCCCTTTGTCTATTTGTATACATATTGTGCTTTTAATCACAGTGTATATACAGTTTATTTACCCAAGCTGCATAATTTATAAAATTTATATTGTTTTTTCTCTTTTAATGTATATTCTGTATACTCATCTATGTTATTGCCTAATAGTCTACTGGATTGAAATACATCAATATGTTGAAGCATTCTTCTATTTTTGAACATTTAGGTCTCCCCTGCTTTCTTATGAATATTGTTGATATAGCTATCTTAATACAAAGCTTTTTACTGTTTGAGCTGTTTCTCTAGGATAGATTTGTTGTCTAGGGAAATCAGTAAAAATCATATGAACTTTTTAATGTGTTATTTTGTCTAGGATTTCTCCAGTGATGATTCTAAACTAGAATATAATGTAGATGCTGCAAATGGCATTGTTATGGAAGGTTATCTGTTCAAACGAGCCAGCAATGCCTTCAAAACTTGGAACAGGTAATATATTTCAAATCTAGTCTTGCTCTTTCCATATTCTCAGTTTTCTGACTTTCCCTTTGGTTTGGCAACTCTTTCCTTCATAATTCTCTAAATTCACAGTCCCTAGTAACTTTCCTGAACCCAGTCCATTGAAGATAAGATAAGGCCCTTCTAGGAAAGGGGCCTTAAGAAGCAAGTCAAAAGTAACAGTAGTAATTCTAAATTTTAAAATTTAAGCGAAGTTTAAACCAGGAAGCAAGGAGACTTTTTATACTGCTTGGTCTGTAGTGACTAGATCATTACAATGAATAAATTTTTAAATGTGAGCTTCCTCCCATATTTGTTACCAAATAGATCTGATTGCAAATTATATTTTGAACATAATGGATGAATATGACAAGTGAGCTTTTTTTTTTTCCCTTTGGGTTCCTCCCCTATATGCTGTTTATGTACATTTTTACTTAATTTTGGCTTGTGAATCTTTAAGTGAGGTGATCCTGATCTTTGGATCTTTGCAATAACTTTAACCAGGAGTTTTAGGATATGGAATTGTTTTTATGTGTGAAGTGAGTATGGCAGCTGGTGCTCCTTTTTTCTAAACTTGATGCCAACCGAAAACTTAAAATTTTTTTTTCTAAACTGATTTTTATATATATTGATCCAGTAAATGTCTTTTGAATGAATGTGTAAAATATTTTATTTTCTTATGTATTAATAAAGTGGAATAATTTCAGACATTAAAGCAAAAAAAAAAGATTGTATTGCCTCAGGATCATTCTTCTGAATAGCAGTGATTAGCCTTTTATTCAAGGATGCCTCCCTTCTTGCAAAAAAAAAAAAGAGTAATTAGAACAGTTTTGTAATAATTGAAAATAGTATTGGGTTCTGGTTAATTGATACACTATTATATTATTGGTTGAATGTATATTATTTGCTGCTTGAACAGATATGAATTCACTTAATGATAGATTGTTTTCTTTTTATAAAATGGACAGTAGCAAAATAAATAGAATTTTCTTGGTAAGTTTAATTTAGTATACATTTTTGTTAATTTAACTGGAAATGATTATGCTTGGATATTCAGTACATTGAAATGGATTCATTGTGCACTAATTTTGAGTCCTTGGTGATGAGGTTATAGAAAAATTTATTGATATTTTCAAATGTCAGTGATACATTGAGTATTTCCATAGCATTCGATATTGTCAGATGTTTGAATGGTACATGGTGTGTTGTATTTGAAATAATTTTCCTTTACTTGAGAGTGAATATAAACTGGAAAGAATAATGATAATATTTGATATTAAGTCTCTTTGAGTTATGTAGAACTTTTTTTTTTTTTCTTTTTGCGGTACGTGGGCCTCTCACTGTTGTGGCCTGTCCCGTTGCGGAGCACAGGCTCAGCAGCCATGGCTCACGGGCCTAGCCGCTCCACGGCATGTGGGATCTTCCTGGACTGCGGCACGAACCCGTGTCCCCTGCATCGGCAGGCGGACTCTCAACCACTGCGCCACCAGGGAAGCCCGAGTTATGTAGAACTTTAAAAATAATACATGAATATAGATGGATCAACTAGATGGTCTGGTTAAGAAATAATGTTTTAACTATTATAAAGTAAAAAAGAAAAATTAAAATTCTGTATTAAGCCAATAATCTTTGAAGTGTTTCCTGGCAAATTTCCATAGCCAGAGTAGGAAATTAAAATCGTGTGGTTGTCAAATTTTTATAATAAAGATTTTTCAACTAGTATGGTTTCATGAGGTAATGTTAGAATTGAATTTTAACCTTCAGATTTCAAAACAACCTCCTTAAAGTTTAACACAGTGAAAATACAGTAAATCCATAGAAACTGTACCATTATGTTAAGAAGAAATGAAACGAACTTCCATGGACTACTCCAATCAGAAATGCTCTCAGACTTCAAAATGAAGCACAGTAAGTGTTAGTGGAAAATCGCATTCCCATTTAGGACAACGGAAGAACATTAATTGACTTAAGCATGGACCTTTTGGTTTTTTATTATATGTTTCATGAATTTTATTAATTGGCATAGACATTAAAACATAACTAAAATCAAGTAGGGAATAACTATTAAATTCTCAATTGTAGATATGTTACCTATCATTTGCCAAGTAAGGAAGACAATAACTTTGGAAATGAGGCCACTTTTTAAAGGAGATGCCATTTCTGTGTGATAGGATGACAGTTATTGATTAGAATCATAGATTGTAGTTAACACCCTAATTTTTAGTAAAGAAATGGAAGTGCAGGGAGATGGTTGCTCATTCAGGGTCACACAGCTGGTTTGTGACAAAATTGAGGCTCAAAACCTGGCTCATTAAAAAACTTGCTATGGCAGATAGTCAAGAAACGACCAAGGTCAGACGACAGTGGATCAACCCAGAATTAAGACTCCGTGCTTCCAGTGCAGGGGCGGGCGGGTTCGATCCCTGGTCGGGGAACTAAGATACCACATTACACGAGGCCAAAAAAAATAAAATAAAACGTAAAGGAAATGTCAAAAAAAGAAAGAAAGAAAAAACTTGCTATGGAAATTCCAAACAATCTGAATTTTTATTTTTTATTTTTTTGCGGTACGCGGGCCTCTCACTGTTGTGGCCTCTCCTGTTGCGGAGCACAGGCTCCGAACGTACAGGCTCAGCGGCCATGGCTCACGGGCCCAGCCGCTCCACGGCATGTGGGATCTTCCCAGACCGGGCCACGAACCCGTGTCCCCTGCATCAGCAGGCGGACTCTCAACCACTGCGCCACCAGGGAAGCCCACAATCTGTATTTTGATAAGACAAAATACAACTTCAATAACAACAACAAAAAAATAGCTTAAAAAATATTTTTAAAAACCTTCCTAACCATTTGCATTATTAGGAATAAATTATGCATAGCAAATTAGTTTCATTTTCATACACCTTTAAAGAATATTTTGATGACAACAGTAGTTAAAGGCAGACTTCTAAGGAATATAGCATATAAACATTATACAAATCCCTTTTCAAAAACAAAAACAAAAGTCAAAACCTTGCAACAGAAGTCTTAAGTATTTTCTAGGTTATAGGTCAGTAGCTATAAAAGGGAGAAGAAAGAAAGAGTTATCTATTAAATGTTATTTAGAATTCTCTTCTGCTTTTCAATTTTAAAAATTTGGAATGTATCTAAATTTTTTTATATGAGGTTACCAAAAATCTAATGTTAGGAAGTACATGCAAATAATTTCCCTTTGCCTGTATATGACTTCCAGACTCTGCCCTGCTTCTCTAGTTAGTTCTCTATCTAGCTTGATTTAATATATTCTACGAGCCTCTGAATAAAAGACTGTGTATTTGTGATATTTGTGCCTTAACTTTAAAAATCCAGGAATTCAACTGTTCAATGTACAGATTTTTTTCTGCCCACCGTTTACGTTTGTTTTTGTTTTTTTTTAATTGTTTGTGGATTAGTTTTAGGAAACATACTTTCTTGTAGTTACTATAAGGTGCCAATCATATGACAAATTTGCCATTGTCTATAGTTTTATGGAGTAGAAGCATACAATATTTTCAAAAGGAACTTTTTAAAAAGATCTTCCTGAGGGAAATGTGAATTTGACTAGGAATTCCCAGGTAGTTTTAAAACCTGACCCTGTGTTTCATAAAATCTAAGTATATCTTGAAAGCATCATTCTATGATCTGAAATTTAACCAAAGAGATGGTATTTTGTGTGATATGATTGAAATAGCGTAAGGAGTGAAACGTTTTATGTCTTATGTGAATTGTTGAGCTTGTTTCTGGTTGGCTTCAGATTTCTGGTGTCTCTTAAGATTTTTATATGTCTATAATATACATTTTTTGATGATGTGATATCTACAAAATAGTCTTTCCATACCAGGCCATCTTCTCAGTGTGTCAGCTTTACTTCAAGCTCAAGTCAGTGCTAGATGGATTACTAATACCTGTATATCTCTTTTGTTTTTAATGATAAATTTAGAAAAGATGAAGGAACAAGGAAAATAATTAAATATTAACATTATTTAGTAGTGAGGTGTTAAAACTAATAAAGAAGTTGAATAATTACATGCTGTGCTCAGTCTTTGTTGAATTAGAAAATATAGCTAAAAGCATAAAATGTATTATATAGTATCTTAATCTAGTACAGATACAGATAAGAAGTGTATAGATAGATTAAAGATAAAGTCTACTTATGTGTGGCCTTAGAGTCTCCACTATCATTTGACAAAAAGAGGGTGAGCAGATGGGAGGAACTTTTCCTTATGGAAAGTTCTCATTTGTTCCACCTCTATATATATATAT